TAAAAAAAATTGGAGACATATCTTCCAGACATAAGTACCTTTATAAAAGTGATATCTCTGTTCAATAGATGATGCTGATTCTTTGCTGGACGACACCGTAGCCAACAGCAACCAGAACAACAGCAACTGCTCGTCGCCATCGCGGATGTCTGACTCTGTGTCTTTAACCACCGACAGCAGTCAGGACAACTCTCTGTGCACGCCAGAGAGGGAGTCCAAGATGCCTTTCCTTCCAAAAAGCAGGTAAGCTCCCTTCTTCTGAGCTTAGCCATCATCCTGCCGTTTCCACACAGTCTGATTCTGTGTTTCTCTCTTGGCGATAAATATTACTAGACAAGACGACGAGAATATGAACCAGCCAAAAGACACCACCCCTCTCCTCCACAATGGCAATGGCTCAGAACCGTCAATCCAGACCCTGTTAAAAACCCAGCAGACCCCACCAGAGTACGACCTGTCGATGGAAGCCTTCATTGAGAAGGGGATCACCAACGGAATGGGGGACGCCTACACCAAGTGGGACCAGATCAATATGAACGTGACCAAGCTGCCGCCGTACCACGCCCCGCAGTTCAGCGAGCTGGACAAAGCAAAGAACGGCTCGGTCAATGACTGCAACGACTTCCAGAACGGGAACCAGCAGGGGAGCGACTGCATCAACAGCCTGGTGAACAGAAGCCAAGGGACGAGAGCGGAGATGTCCGCCTCGACGGGTGTGGCCGCCAGCAGCGACATGTCGTTGTCTCGCAGCACTGAGGAGCTGTCTCCGGAAAAAAGATGCCCGCTGCCGCCGCAAGTGACAAAATCCCACAGCGTCAGCAACATAGAAGCGGGCGGGATGAAGCTGTACTCGTTCGATGGGGACGACGAGGCTGCCGCAGCAGCGGCGGGTAGAATAGTCCCAGGGCCGGGAGCTCAGGGTCAGAACATCGTCCGGAGCAAATCGGCCAGTCAGTTACTCAACGACCAGAATCTGCAGGTCTACCCCGGCTCTTTATCGTCTTCCTCAGACCTGCTGTCGTCCTCTAACCCTCCGGTCAGCACCAGCAGATATCCGGGTTCGTCCAGCATGAGCATGGGAGTCCCTCCCCCTCAGTATAACATCCAGTACGCGAGCAGCGCCGTGCCTAAAGACGGCCTCTGGGCTCAACGGGACCACCAAGGCTACCTCCCGCCTCATCCACACTCCCTCGCCAACACCAACTACTCAAACCGTAACCAGGCACCTCCGTATACTCTACAGCCCCAGCAGAGGGGCGTCCCTATGGCCCCCATGGGAGACTGGACCAAGGAGAGGCTTCATTCTGCCAGTGGGCCGCCTCGAAGCAGCACTCTGCAGCGGCAAGGCAGCTCCGCCTCCTCAGTCTCCATTGGCGACCCAAGGCGCGTCCAAGCTCCCGAGGGGGAGTACATGACCTACAGGGACATCCACACCCTCGCCAGGGGGCCACTGGCAATGAGCCAGGCCATGCAGAGGCCCTTCTCCGCTCGCACTTACAGCATCGACACACCCATCACTTCCAGGCCCGTCGCCGCCAGGCCCCAGCCCCACGAGCTTCCAGAAAGGACCATGTCCGTTAGTGATTTCAGCTACCAGCAAAGCAGCCCCAGCAAGAGGCCCAACACCAGGGTGAAGTCTGAGCACTCGCTTCTCGACGGGCCGGGTCAGGTGTCGGGAGGGATGGGACCAGGGAGGGTGCCAACTGACTGGAGGGACCAAGTGATGCGGCACATTGAAGCCAAGAAAATGGAGAAGGTAAAAAGAAAAGTGCTGATGTGACCAAAATATTTCAGTGTTTCAACGTTTGTTTTTCTAACTGAATAAATAGTTTTGTTTAAACTAGAGGTTTATGTTCTTCTCACCAACTCTACAGCCTATTCAGATATATCAGGGTGTCTATGCCTCCTTAAAAAGTCGTGTCTAAAAGATTAAGGCCTTAAAATGATTCACTTTAAAAACTAAGTTGGCCTCTAATTTGTTAATCACATGTCTTTAAATATTCCAGTCAAGACAAAATTTATCTTGCATTGTTTTTTTCTCACTGGATTTTTCTGCCAAGAAAAGGTTTGAGTCGCACTCGGACGTCTCCATTGCGTTGCGGTTCCTGTTAACTCACTGCTAACATACACTTGCTAGCTAGCTAGCTTTTTTGAGTCTATCATGGATAAGTGCAAATTTATTGCCAGTAGTCTAGACAAAGTTTGTACATTTCTGCGGAAATACAATTGTCTTTAAAATGTCTTAAAAGTCTTAAATTTGAGTTGCAGACTGTCAACAGTATTATACTCTTTTGCACCACAGACAGATGCATCTGCATCTTCCCACATCAAGCTCTAAATCACATGAATTTTGTTTTTAAAGTCTTTTTATGCCAGAGAAAGGCCCAGAGTGATCCGAGTTTGGTTCTGCCCTGCCCCCACTTGTTGCTGGTCAGCAGCGTGAAACACAAGTTCCTAGATTTTGACACTAGAAGCACATATGTAACTGTTTGGAAATATTTATTTAATGCAAAACAAAAAGGTTTTGCATCTTCTGTGAGGTTTGAAGCAAGCCATGGAACAATGAGAGTGCTTTTTTTTTTAATTAAAGCATTTTTATTAAATAGCCGTTTAACAAATAGTTTTACCAGAGGCTACTAACCCATCAGTAGAACTCCTCTGATTCACTGCATGCTGATTTTTACTGTATCTGTCCATGTTTTTATCTTTTTGTTTATCTGTCACTCATTTGGTGGATTGCATGGCTACCTTCCGACATGTCGGCTGCTTCCTTGTCGTCAGAATGCGCTGTCTCGCTCCTATAATTTCAATACTTCTCCGCTGAGCTGGTCTCACTACGGCAGCTGTAGGGATATGCATGCCAGCCAAGGGGGCATGGCCTTTAGCGGAGCTGACCGACAGCCCTATGGAGCCCTGAGCTTCCGTGTGAGTACTGTGAACTTGTAGCCAGCGCCAGCAGCTCAAGCTCCAGCTCCTGCTAGTTTCACATCATTTTCAAAAGTAAAGGAAATGTCTGTTTCCTTGTACACCAGATGTTGAGAAGTAATCAGACCCTGAGAAGCTATCTTTGGCTTGTTCTTTTATAGAAAACCAGAGTTTACTGTTTCTCAACATCTGATTTCCTGTTACTAAAATTCATGTGTGGTGATTGATTTCAGTGAAAACTGGACAGATTCCAGTTTCATGTTCCCTGTGATCATTAGGGGAGCAGCTTTTTAACAGGGGCCTTGTTTTTGTTTTGTTTTTTTAATATAGAAAATAAACCAGTAGATAATTAAATCCAGTAGAAAGCTTAAATGTTTCTAAAGCTAATCTTATTTAGCCATCATTTGTATGTAAGCCGAACATCAGATGGGACTTGGGATGCAAACGATTGATCGATGTACAATTAATTGCAAATTAATTGTTTATTAAATTAAAATGAGTTCCTATCAAGTAACTAACAACACCTCCACTGAGGTCTACTTTTAGTCTTGTAGTTTGGCCACCATCCAGCAGAAACATCCTAAAGCAGAGCCGGTTGATAGAGAAACAAAGATGGCGGCACCATACCAGAGAAACGCTCGAAACAGGGTCCAGTGTGGGATAGAAAATGCACTTTATGTGGTTCTGTTTTGAAACACAAACACTTGACTGGAGGAAACTCAGATTTTTAAGAAAATGGCAGCTTATCGATGGGTAACATCAATAAGCTCAATCAACTTTAGATCATTAATCGATACTTTTCATCCCCTAAGTGGGATAAAAGAGCCCCTTTTAAATATGCTGTGCTCTTTAATGTAAAAAAACCCTCAAAAACATCCCAGTATTCCTCACCATCTCACCTCGAATAATTCGTCTTGTGATTGTGACGGCTGTCTGAACCATGATGTCTCCTCCTCTAACTGCATTTGTAACGTTTAATTTTGCTCATCCGTCATCTTCACTCCAACCTCTGATCACATCAGCCTGACTTCGTAACCTCCCACTTCATGTGTGGACTTAAAAATATGTTGATGAAAGGTAAGATGGCCAAAGTGTGTGTGTTAAGGACGTAGACGTGGGAATTGGCATAGATGGAGAGTTTTGATCCTGTTTAATCCATGTGTGTCGTGTAACTTCTATTCCTGTAAACTTAACCACAGTCCACTTAGTTCTTGATTTGAGCAAATCACAATTTAATGTTTCCCCATTAAAAAGAAACTGATATGCTTTATCCTTGTTCCTCTTATGTCAAATTAAAGTCTTGCTTTTGATGTCAGCACAAGGCAAACTATATGTCCCTGTCGTCCTTTTGATGTCCCATGCATATTGATTGAAAAGGTACCAAGTAGATGTTCGGCGTGTGTCATTTCAGTGCAATAATTATCCACATTTTCCTTTCAGGATGATGTTTTTGTTCCCCAAGGGCCACAAAGCTACACCATGGACCCCCACAGAAAAGTAGGTGTAATTCAAGTCATCCAGTAAAGAAAAACCTAAATTTGTCAAAACTTCTGGTTTCAACTTGATTTTTACCTGTCAATATTTAGCAAAGCACTGAGCTTGCACACATGTGCCGAGCAGTCTGTTTATCAGTGTGTGTTTCTGTCGCCTAGGTGCCTTTGATGAATGGTCAGATGGGCCCTTCTGTTCGTCCTCAGATGAGCCAGACCTCAATGGCTCGTCACCCTTCCAGAGAGCAGCTCATCGATTATCTGATGCTCAAAGTCTCCCAGCAGCCCCACGGGCCTCCGCGCATTCCTCACGACACGATACAGCAAGAGGGGAGGTCGTCGGTTTCTCTTGTAAACCAAAAATGAAACTTTAGCTTTTTCTTTTTTTTTTCTCGCTACTATTACAATCGCTTGTTTAAGTCTGCAGGTGTTGCTAGCAGATGTTATTTTTAGTCAGTAATGGGTGTTTCACATTATTAATACCCTTTTAACTTTTCGTATTTGGTCCTTTAAAAAGAATGCAAATGTCTTCTGAAGTCACCCAGTTGGTAAACGGAGTATGCCTGTGTGTAATTTAATCTCAGTATAAATAGAAATGATGTACATAGGTGTCAGGGTATTTTTAAAGAACATAAGCAAATAAACTGCATCACAAAGACCAAAAGATGCGGATGGCCTTTCAGCGAAGTAGCGAGTAGAAAGCCATAAGAAATTCTGTTATCAGTTTGCCACAAGCCGTGTAGACGAAGAAGGTCCGCGGCACATCGCCCTAAACATGCCACCCCCACAGTAAAACCAGTGGTGCCAGCATCGTGCCTTGTGGGACACCTTTTCCTCAGAGTTGAAAGAACATGGATCCTGTTACATAAGAACAGGACGATTGTGGAAGAAAACCTGTTAAGAGGCTGAAAAAGACTTGAAACTGAATCAGATGTTCACCTTTTCTTTTCTCCCAGCTTTTTCTTTTTCCAACAGTTTCTTCCACTCCATAAAAGACTAAATCTCTTAAAGTACTTATTTTATTTTCTCTCTCACTCAGCTGCATAGATCAATGCTAGGATTAAGTCTGAAGTTCAAGGGGAGAAACTTACAAGGCGTCATGTTTCTGGGCATTTACTTCAAACCTTCCCATCAAGAAGAAATCTGTCCACACAGAGGCTTTGCAAATCTCTCCCTAGATTTATCTCTCCCGTTTATCCAACATAATCACTGTTCCTGTCTTTCTAATGAACCATTGTGAGTTAGTTTGACATTGTTTTCTTTAGAGTCCTGCTGTTTTTGCTTCTGGTGTGTATTAATGAAAGAGAAATGTGTAACTGACGGGGAGTGAAGTGAAACAGTAGCTTATCAAAAGTGTGTGGGTGTGTTTCAGATCCGTGTGAAAGTAGAGAAGAATCCAGAGCTGGGTTTCAGCATATCGGGCGGAGTGGGAGGCCGGGGAAACCCCTTCCGTCCCGAGGATAATGTAAGCTTACACCTTTCATCTTCTAGTCTTTCTTTTTGCTCTTAAGGACATTCTGTGCCCCGGGTGCCTACAGAGTCTGGAAAAGTTTGGAATTTGATTTTAAGTACTCTTCAAGATCTAAACAAGTATCTGTCCATCCCTTCCTGCATTAGTTGTCCGTATGTCCGTCCATGAATTTATCCATCCGTGCGTCGCTCCATTCATCTATTTCTCTATCAGGGCTGAAACTAACGATTAATCAGAAAATGGCACATTCTCTGTATGTTTTTGTTACCCACATAAGCCTTTCATAACATGTTAGAAATACACTAAAATGTACAAATAATTCAATTCCTTGATTAATTAAGAAAAAAATATTATTGCTTAAGATACTTAAGAATATCTAAACCAGGTGAAGCTAAACCTATGCCGCTTTAGGAGTTTTAGCTAAAATATATTTATCAACGATCTGGATACATTTTGCATTTTTGTCTATGCACAATGTACATATTTTTTTAACAGTTTTGGCTTAATTACTGCTCTGAATGTGTGGGGTAATTTGTTTTTGTATACGACCGTTTTTGAGTCCGAAAACTCCAGTTAGCTGATAACTAAATAAGTTAACGGTTATTTCATTAATCAATTAATCACGATTAATCGTTTCAGCCCCGTTATTTTTTTACTTCTATCCATTAGTTAATCAGCACATCCAGTCAGCCTGTGGTTTCTGCAGGTTTGTATTCAAAGCCTGTTTCTAACCACTGTAGAAATGCATGCTTCCCTGTTAACCAAAAAGAGAGGGACAACCCTGAAACCATGTCCTATTTTGAAATAAGAAAGGAAAAAAAAAAGTTTTTCTTAGACATTAATTTATTGTTGTAGTTGAAAACCACTGCATTTTATGTCTTATGTCATTTTAGGGCATTTTTGTGACTCGAGTTCAACCTGAGGGGCCAGCGTCCAAAATCCTTCAACCTGGAGATAAAATAATTCAGGTATTGTGCTTAAAAAAAAAAAAAAATGTAATGTTGGTTCTGGTTCGAAGGGGGAAAAAAACAAACTTTTTTTTGTGCTCGTTTTGGTCCACAGGCAAATGGCTACAGCTTTGTGAACATCGATCATGGGAATGCAGTGTCCCTGCTCAAGACGTTTCCAACCACTGTGGATTTAACGATCGTAAGAGAAGTGCAAGCGTAGACTCGACTGCATCTGTCCGACAGACCGGTGCACCACAAGAAAGGAGAGCAAAGAAATTTATGGTGACTGTCATATTTTTATACACAGAGGAGAGACTGATCTGCTGACACCTATTGGGACTATTTATAGCTGAGATCCTCAGAGGTCTTCGTCACCTCGATGCAACGGGGAAAACCACTGAATGTAGTGGGTCTTAGTGAAACAGCAGCAAACACATGCAAGTACGCGTCCTCAAAAGGCCGTCACTGTGGTATACATATATATATTTTTTATACGAAAACCTGAAGATTTGATGAGAACTCTGATCTCTGTACAGATCCGCTTTTTTGTTTGTTTTTCTAAGTCAACGACTTATCAACCACTTGTCAAGATTTGGGTTTTACTTCCTCAGATGGGCATGGAGGCGACCACTAGGGGGCAGGGCTCCCACTCTTCTCTTATGTCCTTAAGTTTGCCTTTTATTTTTTTAATTATTATTCTGTAGCTGAACCATTTCCCAGTTGCCAGGTGACATTATTAAAAGGGACTGCGTCACGTGCTTCTCATGGGGAGACGAATGTAGATCAAGGAGGCGTTTGTTTCTGTTTTTTTTAATGGAAGATCAAAGAAGGAAACGAAGAGGGAGAACCATCCACTCCGACTTCCGTAAACCCGTCAAGATCCACCTCAGTCATGTTCTGGATAACCAGATCTGTGCCATCCGGAAGCTCATCCCAACTCGTCAGACGTTTTCAGAAATGTAGGTGTTCCTTCGACCAGAGAAGAAAGCAGAATGGAGTTCCTCGCATCGGGAGAAAAAGCGGGTTCTTGTTTTTATGTCTCTTTTGAAAAGGTACAACTTTTGTTTAAAAAAAAGAGGACTAAAACTGGGGCAATAAGCACATCTGGTTCAGGCAGGATGACATAAAGGTGCTTAGAAGTAGACAAGCTAGCTTTCGATGAAAACACCTCAAGGCTACTCCATTTAACCAAAGCAAGCATTAAAATGAACAGAAGGTAAAAGCAGGGACTGTTCTAAGAGAGATTTTAAGGATCAACATGTTTCGTTGTGTGGATTTCATCTTTTAGGTCGCCATCAATGCAAAAAAAAATAAATAAAAAAGTTTGCAACATGAAACATTTTACACAGAAGAAAACCAGAGGTTGCCTTTTGTGTCTGTTTTGTTCCCGTCACTCATCACCTCGAAGCAGTCTTGTGGGTTTTTTTGTTTTTGTTTTATTGTTTTTCCTTTGCTGTACGGAGAACAGATGGAAGACACAAATTGTCAAGTGCCATAGACCTTGAACTGTTTGAACAAGAGGAGGGATGTTCAGCTCTTCCCCCCCGAGGAACCCAAGCAATACCCACATTCGCAACCCCTTCGAATACATCTGCAGCATAATGGCTTCAAAGCAATATTTAAAAGCCTTTATTTTCATTCCGACGGCATCGTTTTTAAACCTAAACACAAGCTTTTAGTACCCCTGATGATTTTATGTTTTTTTTATATTGTGATTTTTTTTTTTGGTTTGTGTTTTTTTACAATGAAATGGCACAGAAATTATATGTGTGTGTGGCATTGCTCAAAAAACAAAATCTCTGCGTTGTGACAGAGTTTTCATCACTTTGGCCGAGATATTTTACTGTTTTGTTGAGTACTGAATATCTCGCTGTTTGTGTGTTTAAAAGTTTCCACTGTGGGGTTTCAGCATTCTGAAAACAATTATAAAAGGACTGTGAGAAATAAGTGTGATCAAGATTTATATTATACCCCCACCTGTTGACATTCAGACACAGGTACAGCAGCGAGACGTGTTTCCCAAACTAGTGGAAATGATAAAATACACATTGTCCAGTGAATTCCTTCACTTCCATCATTTGTTGCCAGTGAAATATCTTGTATTTTTGCTTTTTCCATTGGCAACCAAATAAAAAAAAAACTACCCCCCCGCCCCATTTTAATTCATTTAAAATAAACGAATAAGTTTCTGTTGAAAAATATGAAGCTGGCCATTAGTTCTTCTACTTGATTAGCAATTGGTCAATTTTTATTTACAAGAAAATGACATTTTTCGCACATTGTGTTGTATTGTACTCTGATGAAATCCTTGATTGTATTTGTTTTAAAGTTCTTTGCTTTTTTTTCTTTGTTTTTTTTTAACGGCAGAGATTAATTTCTTGGGTTATGGTCACTTTATAATCACTTCAAAAAAAATTGTCTACTTTAGACAATCTAGGGATGAAAACAAATCTTTTCACTGTTTCTTCATCCACGTTTTGTGTTTTTCACTCCCACTTTTGTATTTATTTAGCAGACTTACATGAAATTTTAGACCTTACTAATCAAATTGTAAATAACTGAAGAAACATTTGTGACTTGCGATTGTAAAACCAGCAATAAATTGCAAATGCAGAGGCTCCCATTTAAATGTATAGCTAGTATTTCTAATGTTTCTCTGGAAACGGTCACAGTGAGATGATTGATATGCATTTATCCAACATTCCAGATTTTGTACATAATTTCCTGTTTCAGAAGTTACCTGTGGGACAATAAACTAATGCTGTTTAACAGTGATGCTTTTGTTTTACTGTCTCGATCGTCCGGGTTCATCTTAAGGGCTAACGACAAAACTGGGAAGAACTCAATAAGTGCTCGTTTTGGACCTGCTGAAGATAAATTGCAGTAACTGGTAGTTATTCAAAAATGGCTTCATTTAAAAGCGTGTGAATATGCAAGTCTTGACCGCAGTTTACACTTTTGTGCTACTTTGTTACCCATTCAAATAGATGCAACAGTTTTTAGTTTCAGCTTCTCATTTTGTGTGAATATTTTTAGATCTGTGTGACCAGAGAGCAAAACAAATGCCAGCACAAAACTTTTATCATGGGCACTCCACTGCTTTTTACAGATTTTGTCTACATGTTGTAATTCAAATACATGTAAAATACCTGACAGTTCTAACATTCCTAAGTGCACAAGGTTGGATCCTATTTCTACCAACAACAGTATGACCGGAATACTTGGATTAGCAAGTAGTGGTTGTGTAAATGTAGTGGAAGTGAATGGAAGAAGTTAAAAGTCTCACTTTTTTTATACTGTTCTCAAAAGGTATTTTGCCGATCCCCGTTAGTCAAGCCAACTCCAACTCTGCACAGCTGTTTACATTTACTATAAAATATTTGACCCCAAGTTTATATTGCTTCCTGCCCCATTGTTGAAAATTAAATTGAGCCGTTATGCTATGAGTACAGGGAAATCTGTTATGTATACATTTTATACATAACTTCCTTTTTTAAAATTCTTGTTTTTCTGGTATGTTCGATATAAAATGGATTGACGGTAAGTCAAAACGCTGCTACACAATCTGTCCTTCATTTAACTCAGACACTGATGTAAAAAAAAAAAAAATGTTGCTGCTTGTGAAGATAAGAAGGAAAAACACTTTGAGTGCTTATATGTTTTGTTTTGGAACGTGATCCAGAAATATGTTGTGCTGTGTGACAACTCCTACAGTGGAGGAGTCTCCTTTTTCGGTTTTAGATTGTCTAATACTTGTAAATATTACCACTGCATTTTTTAAAGCAAAACAAACATTGCACCTTTTCTATTGTAAAGTTTCATCAGGTTTATATTTGTATTTTTTCTTAACTTTTAGCACCCATTTTTGCACTTTATTTGTGGAAGAAAATTTAATTTTAACAATAGCAGATAGGTTAAAGATAGCTACTTGTCATTGTCCTAAAATGGTGCTCTTTTTCTCCAATAGATAAATAAAAAAAAAAGAATATATGAAACTAGCTTTGAAACATACATTTAAATTTGGGCTTATTTTTCAACTTTTGTATTATTTTATATGGGTATGCGTTAGGAGTCAATAACTGGGCTTATATAAATTTATGATTTGCTCAAAACATTTCTGACTATTTCTTTTCTTCTTCATTTTAATTGTAGTGTATTGTTTCTTCCTGTAGGAGGGGCTGTAGTGGTCGATTTTGGTTCTTAGACGATGTTCAAAAACAAGAAGAAGTCTAAAACCTGCCGCACCGCCACCCTCTGGCGCCGACAGGGATAACTGAGAAATTATACAGTTCTAACGATAAAGATTAATTTTAAAACACACACAGACGAAGAAACACTTTATCGCTCGCACAATGCCGGGGACTGCAGTCGTCCAGGTGACCAACTTGTCGTCGGCCGTGAGCAGCGAGCAGATGCGCACTCTGTTCGGCTTCCTGGGAGACATCGAGGAGCTGCGTCTCTATCCCCCCGAGTAAGCGCTGCTTTTCCGGTCTGAGCCAGCGAGGCAACGCCGCGGAGTTGCGGCCTTGTTAGGGCCCCACGTAAGAATTTGTATGTAGCTGTCCCAAATGTTTTTTAATGACTAACTTTATCCTTTGTTCTCCTTAATTCTTCTCACAGCAACACCCCTCTGTCGTTCTCCTCCAAAGTTTGTTATATAAAGTACCGAGACCCCTCAAGTGTTGGTGTGGCGCAACATCTCACCAACACTGTTTTTATTGACAGAGCTTTGATAGTGGTTCCCTGCGCAGAAGGTGAGTGCAAGCTGCTTGGTTTAATAATATTACAATAATAATAAAAAAAACCTTGATAAATAGCTGTGGACGTCTTCTCTGGAATTCACCTTGATGTCTATCGTGGTCGTGGGGAGGGGGGGTGTAGTCTTCAGAAATAAACACGGCTGGTGTCGCATAATTTAGAGCAGGCATGGGCCGGTATGCAAATATATGCAAAGATTTAAAACACAAATACCATAAATTAAGACGATTTATAACCGATATTTTCTTCTGTTACTTCTAATATAATGTGACATTTATTTTTCAGTATTTTTGTTATATTTAAGTAAATATAGGGAATACAGACATGTTAGCTGTATTTTTCCCCCTTTCTTGCTCGTGAGAGAAACTATAGCAGACTTCTTTCTGCCAGCTGACTGGCAGTGTGGCAATCTAAAATCTGATATGAATTTTGTTTTTTTACATCTGTCCAATTTAATTTTCTAAGTTCCAGAACATAAAGAGAATAATGTTCTGTGGTTTCTTTGGATACATTTGATGAACAGCAAAGACATTTTCAGTATTTGACCTGGTTATAACAAATGAGTAGCACATATCTAATTAGAAGGACTGGCAGAAACCGGCCCATGCCTAGATTGGATTTAAAGTATTTTATTGGTCCAGCACCTGGCACAGGTGATGGGTTTAGCCACAGCACCCACTCAAGTTTCTATTTGGTGTCACATAAATTAAAGGGAGATCAACGTTACCATGAGCACTGGACAGTCTGGATTACAACTTGTGTATCTAAAAGAAATGTAACCAAATCCATTGCTAAAGAGTAAAACTCTGTCTTTCTCCCCCTTTTAAATTTTTTTTGGTACCCTTCTCTCCCCCACCCCCTTTTTTTGGCACCCCTGTGTACACTCACAATGATTACACTTCTAACCTGATGCATTTTGTCCACGTGACTTGGTGCTGGATGGCTAATGAGTTTATTAATTTGGTTTTGTATGTTTTTTCTGTGTGATTATGTGTGCATATCAGATGACTAGACTGGCCCAGCTGTTACACTACACTAGCCTGAGTCAGGCATTGTTTTCCAAGCCACTATCCCCGATCGGGCCAACGCAGCCTTCAAGGGGGGGATGTGACCCGGAGAATAGCCCGCAGAACCTTCCAAGATGGACACCTTGTCTCTTTTTTTTTTTTTTTTTTTTTTTTTTGTTTTTTTACTTTTTTTTTATTTTGTTTTCGGTTTGTTTCCTTTTCATACTATCCCATGTTGTCCACTCTCTACTGTCTCTATCTAGAAACTTGCAGGTTGTGTTTATATTTGTTATTTTTTTGTTTGTTATTTTGATTATTGTCCAACCCCCCCAACCCCCTCTCTCTTTCCGCTACAGCTGGAGCTTGTGTGTGGTTGAATTCAGTCCAGGTTGCTACGGCACACCGGTGGGATGTGTGCCACACAAAAGATGCTATGAGGATCACTAACTCTTTTGTTCTCTTGTCTCCTACGTCTGTTGACGTAGTGAAGGGCTAGTCTGTGTGGAAAAGTGAGCCTCAGTAACAAATCATATATATATATATCTACATATCTTTCTTTTAAACTATCTGTGCACTTATTCATCTACTTGACACTGAACTAAGAAGGCAGCATTTAGTACTTTTTCCTCACATTACTTCAGTACCGCTCTGATGTGAATGTTTAGTAATGACACAGAACTGATCAGTGTAGCATCATTCTCTCTTTGTAATGCATTAATACATTGCTCTGTTCATGTTTTGCTTAACAAAGATGGTTGCTTGCCCCTTTAATGCTGAATTCCCTCTAGCTCTAGGTCAAAATTGCACGGTGCCTTGCAATGTTATTCACAAACTTTTTCTAATTTTGTCTCGATGCAACCACAAACTTTGATGTGTTTTTTTGGGATTGTATGTGCTAGGCTAGGGGTCTGCAATGCGACAATCCAGAGCCTCAAGTGACTCCTTTTACCTTCCAATAAAAATAATTAAGAACCAACTAATGTTTTTAAATTTTACTATATAATAATTGTTGTTTTTTAGTTTTAATTCATCTTTTGACATATATTAATTGCACTAAATTTCTAACACATAAGATGATTTTTAATTTAATTTTTTTTTTTTTCGCTTTTGATTTGAAACACTAAATGTATATAAAGTTAAAAAATATATATTATTTCCAAACCAAATAATAGAAATAAAACTGTGATTCTTTGAAAATTACAACAAAATTGCTATACAGGTTTTTTGTCCTTTTTTTTTTTGGACACATACTAGTTTTATTTCAGTGGACTGAGGGCCACAAAGTGGCTCTTTGGCTCTTAAAGGTTGCAGGCCCCTGTGCTAGACCAACACAAAGCGGTCCAGCATAATTTGCTCTGTGTCGGTCAGTCGCATAAAGTCCTAGTGGAACAGAGTTGAGTTTGTGGCTGTGACACGAGGAAATGTGGGGAAAGTCGAAGGGTTGTGAATCTATTTGCAAGGCACCATTTAAAACTTTTAAATCTTCCTGCCGAGAGAGAAGGGAAGAAAATGATTATCCACAGTGGAGTGAGCACAATTCCTAATTGGTTGTTTTATTGAAATCTTAGCATTTCCAAAGTTCTTAAAACTGTTGTTCTTTTCTGTATCTGATGTTCTGTGTGCTATTAGTGATGCAGCCATTGGGGGTTGTCTTGTGTTGCACACCTTTCCAACACTGCGAAACGATCGCCCCCCACTCCCCCCCGCGGAAAAGCGCCCATGCTTGATATCGTATGGTTCATGACCAATATGTTTCCAGTACAGGTGACCATACATCAAAGTGTTGACTCATTCTCTGCATTGTGTTTTTTCTTTTTCTTTTTTTTTCTTTTTTTTTTTTTTACTTAACCTATATATATATAAAAAGAAAGAAAGCAGAAAAACAAATAATCAGCTCCCTTTTTTCTGTTTTTCTTTAATAAGAAGCTATTCTTTTGCACTTTTTATATTAATGATGCATATTGACTGAAAAGAGTAGATTAATCAAATCCAAGTAAGGATGCTTGGTCTGAAGTAGCGGGTAGATGACTCTTTAGGCTGGATGGGGAAGCGTATGCTCTCGTTCTCTCTAGAATACAGTGGGATAAATGTGCAGGCAGAGTGAAGAGCGCCTCCCTTGCCTTCCCTAACGTCCCACTTTGTCCTGCAGGGAAGATCCCAGAGGAGGCCAAGGCTCTGTCGCTGTTGGCACCTGCCGCCCCGGTACCTAGTCTGATTCCAGGCGGAGGACTGCTGCCGATTCCCACTCCGGCTCCACTTCAGAACGTGAGTCATCGTCTTTATTTTGGGTGTTTTTTTTTTTTTGTTTTGTTTTTTGTTTTTTTATTCACATGCACGGGTTGAATCTGACATCCATCCGTGCGGTTTACGTCCGCAGCTGAACCTTCCTCTGGTGAATCGGATCACAGCGAGCCTCGACCCCACAGCCTCTGTGCTGTCTCAGCCTCCCCTCATCGGCAATGTTGACCCGACGAAAATCGATGAGATTAGGAGGACGGTATACGTTGGAAACCTAAACTCACAGGTGAGGTTAAAGAAAAGTCTGAATAAATGAAGGTAGTTAAAGTCGTATCTGTGGCTGAAAGAGTTAATTGAGTATTGAAATAATCGTCAGCTAAAATCTAGGGTATTCAATAGCCTTCAGAAGACAACTCATTTTTAGTGCGCCTTTATGTGAGTTTAGTGCAGAGTTCAGTTCCCATGAAGAGTTCTTGGTGTGAAGACTGTTTTTTTTTAAATGTGCAGTTTATTATATTTTTTATTGGATCTGTCCCAGACCACCACTGCAGAGCAGCTGCTGGAGTTTTTCAAGCAGGTGGGAGACGTGAAGTTTGTCCGGATGGCCGGAGACGAGACTCAGCCGACCCGCTTCGCCTTCGTAGAGTTTGTGGAGCAGGACTCCGTGGCCAGAGCCCTCACTTTAAACGGAGTCATGTTTGGAGACAGACCCCTGAAGTGCGTTCTCACACCGTTTACTGTGAAATGTGTTTGAAAAGTGTTTATTTTTTAAATTTTTCTATGGTTAAATCTGTTTCAGGGTCAATCATTCCAATAACGCCATAGTAAAGCCCCCTGAGATGACGCCTCAGGCTGCTGCTAAGGAGCTGGAAAGTGTGATGAAGAGGGTGAGGGAGGCCCAGTCCACCATTGCTGCTGCCATAGAGCCAGGTTGGTGATTTGGATTGATTTGAAACACTCGAAGTGCTCCGTACCTCAGCCGAAGTTGTTTTTATGCTGACGCTAAGATTTCTTCTTTGTGCTTTTGTAGAGACAAAGCAGCGTTCGTCCAGCCGCTCCCAAAGGTCACGGCGGTCCCGTTCCCAGACGCGCTCTCGTTCCCACTCGAGATCACGGAGGAAAAGGTCTCGCTCCAAACACAGGTGCTCAGAAAGCCCCGGTTTGACACCATACCGGTACTGTGATGTCCGGCCACTGATGTTTTCCCTGTTTTTTTTTTCTCTCTCATTCTGGCGGATCAGACCAACACCAAGATCTTTTCCTGGCGGTGACGCCCACAGTTCGAGGAGCGGCCACAAGAGGCGCTCTCGGTCCAGAGACAGGAGACACGCCAGGAGTCGCTCCAGGTGCTTTGACAGCAGCTGACTTTACAAACGTTTTTTTTTTTACTTTTCCAGTCTAAATGCTGTATATTTTAGAGTTGCCACTAATGATTATTTATTACCTGTTAGTCTCTGAACTCATTTTTGAATTAGTTCCTTTTAATTGTACCTTCTAATTTTTTTTAAAAGGTACAATTTTTTAATTTTTTTTTACATCCAACGAAAACGAGTTTAGTGTTATTTATGTGTCTTTCTGCTTTGAGCTGACCTGCTGATCCCCTCCGTCTGTCTCTCACTGCAGTACTTCTGCTTATCTCTGTAACACATTTCACATTTCTATAACAGTGAACAAAAGTTATTCCCACTGTCAGCAGAAGAGGGCGCCATATTCCAAGTGATCTTGACTTTGTTCTGATGGAAAACGTAATTAAATCTGAATATTTGACCATGTTTTCAAATCAAGACAAAAATACTTTATTTTATCCTAAAGGAGAAATCATATGTTGTCATAACTCATATCATCTTCAAAGAGGATTCTGACTGAAGAGTGTTGCTATGGTACTGTTTTATTTCTTTGGGTAGCAGAGATGATATTTCAGAGTAACATGTCCTAGATGATAATATCAGTTGTTGGCCAGTTCTGCTAATCCACCTCATTTGCATTTGCTGCTTCTCTGTAAATCTGTCTGGCTGTCCTACTTACTGTTTTTATTAAATGTAATTTTTCTTTTCTATTAGAGGCCACAAAAGGAGGAGCAAGGATCGGTCCAGAAGCCCTCGGAGGAAAGCGAGGTCACCTTCACCAAAACGGTCAGTCCGTCAACCTCTGGTTCTGTTCTCAGCAGCACCTGAGTCATTTAATGCGTTGTTTGGTTCATTTATTTGTCATTGTTCATTTGTTTCCGTTGGCCTCTTTTAGAAGTAAACGGGAGAAGAAGAGGGAGCGCAGCAGAGACAGGAAGGAG